CTGTGGAGTTGGTCCTAACCATGCCCATTTAGCATTTAAAAAGAAAAGAAAGCACTCTTAGTCAAAAAATAATTACAGATATGCATGGAATAAAAAAAATTCAGATGGAAAAGACCTCTCAATGGGTCACAGTATTAGATAAATATATTTAGGTTTGGGAGAGAGAAAAAATAGTTATAAAAAGAAGTGAATGGTTTTAAAAAATAAAACAAAAGTCTTAAAAAAGACAGTACAGATAGTCATAGGTTAAAGGAGTAAAGATGATAAAATAAATATTAAACTTGCAGAAAACGTAATAGAGTAAAAATAATAAGCCTTGTAAAGATGGAATTTACTAAGAGAGTCTGGATTATTTATATTATTGAGTTTTCTTTGAATTTTTTGACTGTGAATGAGCTAAGTACAGGGGGATATTTTATTGTACGTGCTGCTAAGCTTAACCAACATATATATTTTAAAGGTATTTTTACTTCAAAATTTAGCTCTAAAAATATGTGGGTTTGGAAAAGATAGTCTGATTTTGTTTCCACCAAGAATGAGAACTTGTGGATTCCTTCTCGTCTAATGTGATTTGATGAACCAAGGCCACTTGAAAGGTCTCCCTGTGCCCCCCAAAAGAAACACCCAATAAAAAGCAAGAAACATATTGGAGAGAACAATGCCCAAATTACCTAAATGATTATTTATAAATATTTGTTTACATTTAGTGGAGGATATGCTATAGAGATGAATACTTTGCATTGGTATGGATCTTGGTCTATTGACACAAATTTTAGGTCAATTTTGTTATATTCATATTTCTGCTCTTGATTAAGGTATTGTTTTTGTACAACTCATTTAAAAATGTAATGGATAATTAGGAAATACAGGTTAATAGATAGTTATCTATAATAGTCAAGCTTATAGTCATGTTAATTAGCTTGTAGTCATGTTAATTAGGTGTTCTAGATATATAGAGATATATTTCAGTTAGATAGATAATCTTCAAACATTTCAAAGACCCATGAAATATGGCCTCTTAAATGTTTAAGAAATTAGGATTTTTCATGACAATGAGTCACATCTGCTACTGGAAGCACCAATCTACTTCAAGGGTAATAAAGAGGCTACTTATTTAATTTGTTATCCATATGGGCAAGAAACTGCTCTTGCCTGAACCGGTTGATGTTATACTGTATGAATTAGACTTGTAGGACCCACAGAAATATGACTGCTAAAGTTGCCTAAAGGTGAGACAGTCCTTCAGAGCTCCTGCTTTATGAAAGAGTCTGTCAGACATTTGGCAGGACACAGAAAAAAGTGACTGACAATCTGCCAATAAAGGCAGAACTGTCTTTGAAATTTTCCTTGTTTATGAAAATGTCTTCCAGATAATATGGGTCTGTAGGCGGAAGATTGGATGCCCCAATGTTACAGAAGAACTTTGGGTGACTGTCCAGGCAGCAAGATGTCTCTGTCAATTCTAGAGTTTTGGAAGTTGCTTACAATGTACTTACTATTTGCTTAGGGAATATTATATCCTTCTGGAGTATTTGATGGAGTTGAAGAGTAGATAGTTATAGTTTTCCTTAGTTATGATAAAAGATAAGTAGATATAAATATTGTAACTGTAACTATTGCTTAATATCTGTTTTGTTATATGAAATTTTATTTTGTTAAAGTTAAAACATTTCTTTTTATTTAGACAAAAAAGGAAAATTATGTGGTATTTCCCTCTGTATATTGTGAATATGTTTTATTATCATTAGTTAATAAAGAATCTGCTTTTGGCCAGTGTCTTAACAGAATATAGCCAGGCTAGAAGAGATATAGAGAAAGAAGGTAGAGTCAGAGAAATTCCATGTAGTCACCACAGGAAAGAGATGCCACAACCATGTAATAATGCACAGATTGATAGAAACGGGTTAATTTACATTGTAAGACCTAGTCAAGAAAATGCCTAAGCCATTGGTCAAGCAGCATTGTAATTAATATAGTTTCTGTGTAATTATTTGGGTCTGGGTGGTGGGAAGCAAAAGAGCAGCTTCTGCCTACAAGAAATTAATTGGCATTGGTTAATAATCAATGGCAACTAGTTTTCCATGCCCTTAAGGCTGATTTTGTTTAGTCTTGTTCTTGAAACAGAATACCTCCCTTTCTTGTCTATGGGTCTCAGGAGGCATGAGTATGCCACTAAAGTTTCTACCTGTGCCATGTGTTTGTGAATGACAGTACATCTAAAAGAGTTAATACTGGACACCGTAAGAAAGATTCTTATGCCTCACCCTTTTAACCAGATATCTATTATTTAATCAGGCTAATTTATAGAGAATATTTTTAGTAAACTTTTTAATGGTATAGATTAGTCTATGTCCAATAATATTACATAAAACATGGCAGATGTGTTTTGAAAAATTCTTGCAAACATTATATTTTCAAGGTTATGTTATTTGGAGTCTTTTAAAATGTTGCATTGAATTCATGGAGTTTTATCTAGCTCTAGCCTCAAGTATTAGTTCTCTATTAAAACAGCATCAGATCTTGGAGACTAGGAAGAAGACAAGGCACTTTGTAGCATAGGGAGAATCTGGTCTAATCAATGTGTTTGTTCACTTGGTTTAAGAAAATAGTCTACTTATATGATATGCCAGGCACTTTAGAAGTGAAAGCAGATGCTTTAATTAGGGTTGATGTGAACTCTATAGAATGTGCAATTATAAAAAATGAGCTAAGAAAAGGAGGTTATGCTCCAAGTTCTATAGTCTAAACATCAATATTAGGCATTTGTCATCGGCCTTTTTAAAAGCTGTTGCTTTTAAAATAGCCAAAGTGATGGATGATTTAAATCCAGACAATAACAGCCCTTAAAAGCAAGATTAACCACAAAGAATTACTTCCTTTCATTTTAAGAAATCTTGGACCTCTTAACAAATCAGTAGATGATATATTATAATGATTTTTATATTAATATGTTATATCTGCCATTAAACTGGTTGCATTATCTACAAAGTTAACAGACAAATAGATTTCTCTAAGGACAGGTTGCTCAATAGCTTGTTGTTAATGGGGAGCAAGCAGGTCTTTAGGGATGTGGATGTCAACCTGGGATTGCTCAGGATCAAATGCTGTCTTAACCAGCTCCATTGCACATAAATGATGTAATTCACAGGAAGACAATACAATTAAAGCCACAATAAATTTAGGCCACTTTATTACACATAAACTGTTACTGTGAATATTTGTGCCCTTCTTTAGAAAGCTATGCTATAACTCATCAGGGCGATTATTACTTAAGTGTTACTGCTTGATATTTTCATGATGTCCTTTCCATATTATTGGCACGAGGAAATTTTACATTATAAAACCAATAGCACCACCAGCAAGGGGACAACAGAGAAAATAGCAAACCTCAGGAGAGAAGGATAATACACCTCTAGGGTCAAAGAAATAGGTTATCACGGCATTTTACACAGTCATACTTTGTGCTATGGTTATAATCAACATCTGTGTATGTAGAGATACACCGTAGAATTGTATAGCTCACCTTTGAAAGTGTACCTTCTGTTATTAGACACGTTACATGTAGAAACTTCTATGTCAAAAGAATTTCTTAGCTGAACTTTGGATGGTGTCACAAAAGTTCTTAATGCAGTAATTCCTGTGCTATGCACAACTATTGAAAAAGCATTACAGAAATTAGCAGATAGTTAAAAAGAAAACAGGTGAAGGAACCACTTTAGCAATGCAACTCAAGCGAAGAAAACGGTTTCCTGTGTTTTAGGTATGAATAAGCAGGAAATCAACTGCAGGAATCCTAAACTTTGAATCTGTATTTGAAGTATTTTAAAGAATGTAGTGCTTCTATGTAGACTTTTCTATTAGTCAGAAGCCCAGACTGAAGAATTTATAAACAACAGATCTTTTCTTGAGACAGAATATCTATTAACAATGAATGATGTTGTTTAGAGATTTGAGGATATATATATATATGCATACTACCAGTGACTGAAAAAAGACCTAAGATAATAATATCATTCATATTTCTTTTTCAGTATTTGCCTTGTGAGCAAGGATCTCTTATTGCCTCCAGTTACGTTATCATATTTCCTGTCAGTTAGGGTAATTATTCACATGTAGACCTTTCCTTCGGGTACTGCCTGTTCTGGTCTACACAGTTTGATTCATGACGTGTTCTTTACTGAAACAGGACTGATGAAATGAGAAGTAGGGAATCAATAGCTTTGCCTCAAGTACTAGATACAATTTGCTATTCTTTATAGGTAGAGATTCAATAAAGTTTAAGACTATGAATAAGGTAGAAAATAAATCTTAGTTTATATTCTAGGATTCTTTCCAAGGTCAAGAAAAAGCCAACAATGATATTCATTATATGTTGGTAGCAATGTACCAAAGTGTTTCTTAAAACTTTTGATATGTGGCAAACTGATAGGTTAAGAGATACACCGTCATAGTTTGTAATTGTTGTGTGGAAATGACATTGAGTATCGTTTCATGTTTAGAATAACTCTTTCTCTGTTTTGTGAGTATCCAAAAGTTTTGTACATTTTCTACTGAATGGTTGAAACCCCTACTTTGTTAGAATGTTGTAGTATGTTCTAGTTACTTCTATCAACATTTAATTTGATGACTTTCTTTGTGGCATATCTTCTTCTACATATTTTTTAAAGTAAATTTATGAATCATAATTTTATTGACTTCTAAGTGACTTTTACTTATTTTTTTCATGCTGATTTGACTTTGAAAGACTGTTGGTACTTTAGAAATGCTGTTCAATGCAAAAAACAAAGGAATGTCTTAAAATTCAACAGTTTAGATGTCACTATAAATTTTTTGTGTTATTTGCTGATAGTAATCACTTATACTTTGATGATTCCAGGAAATGACTGAAAATACCCAGAAAAACATGTATAAAATCAAGAGAGGGTAATCAATAAACCACAGAGAAGCTAATTAAATCAGAAACAAATAAAAAGAAATAAGCTTAAAACTTAAATCTAAGGATGCTTACCTGGCAGGTCAGATACTGTGATAACGAAGGTGGTTTTCCTAGGGCGAGGCTTATTCATTGCACTCTGGATGTGCTGACACCTGTGATTTCTCCAAATGCAGGAAACTTGACTGCATAATTTGTGCTAGAGAGGGCACATCCTCCCTCTCTCCTGAAAAGAATTTATATCTAAGGATGTTCGATAATCCTTAGAGAGGGACATTATACCTACTATGTGCATATAGAAGAAGTCGCAATATCATAGAACAGATTATGCCCTTAAATTAATCAATGAATTTAAAACAATTTCTCTAAATTACTTGATGTTGAAAATTTGATTTAAAAGATTACATTTGAATAATTAATGAGAATAGTGATTCAAAAATGAAATATCTTTAAGGTCTGAATATTTTTTTTGCATACTGAGCCAGACACAAAGCTGAGAAAACTGAAATAAGAGTAATATTGCTGTCAAAATTTAAGAGTACAAATGGAAAGAAATTTCAGATGTGAAAAATAGAGTCATATATACTTTAAAATGTAATATTTTAAATTTATTCTATTTAATAGAGAAGAGTTGGCCCACACCACCAATGTACAAGTTTTTTTTTTCACATCCTTGCCAACATTTGGTGTTTGTTTGCTTGATGTTAGCTGTTCTAACTAGAATGATGTGGAATCTCCAGTACTGACCTTTCATTTTTACCAAATAACTGTGCAATCATGAAGTAATTAAATTTATGAACATAAACAATAAAAGTTATTGAGGAAAAATCTCTTTAGAATTTCATCAAAATGTTACAGTATGGAAGTAGCAATTTCTAAATCGCAATAATATATTTCTTCTTCTATAGGAAGTATTGCTGAGTAACAATCACCTAAACAGAAAGTGAAAATTCAGATTAAAAACTGGAAAAGAATGCTTTGAATTAATTGGTATATTATTAAGAATGAGGAAAAGTCCCACTATCTACATTTAAAACAAGTGACTAGAGATTAAGAGCAGAAAAGAAAATTCATGTGATTCTTAGATATGAATGAAACTCAGCATGCCACATGAGAGCTACAAAATCAATCTTGTTTGTTGTGTCATTTAACCTAGAAATTTGTCAATGGTCTGAGTTCTTATTATTTACTCTTTTTTCAGAGATTTTTTTAAAAAGTAGTTCACGTATAAACCTGTTTGTTTCACTGATTTCTTTCTCAGTCCATTTATCATCTGTGTAAAGGAGGAGTTAGTTTTTTGAGCTATCCTTGTATTCTGCTACATTACTGAAAGTGTTTATGAGTTGTAAAAGTTTCTTAGTAGAGTTTTTGGGCTCACTTATGTAAACTATCATATCATCAGCAAACAGTGAGAGTTTGACTTCTTTTCTTATTTGTATCCCCTTGACTTTCTTTTGTTGGCTTTTATTGCTCTAGCTAGAATCTAAATGCTATGCTGAATAGATATAGACAGGGTGGACAACCCTGTCTTCTTCCTGATTTCAGTGGGATTGCTATAAGTTTCTCTCCATTTAGTTTGATGTTGGCTTGCTGTCTACTGCCTTTATTATGTTTAGGTGTGTTCCTTAACTTATGCTGGAGAGGATGTGGGGTAAATGGAACACTCCTGCATTGCTGGTGAGAGTGAAAATTATCACAGCCCCTTTGGATATCAGTATGGCAATTTCTCAGAAATTTAGGAAACTACTTACCTCAATACCCAGCAATACCACTTTTGGGTATATACCCAAAGATGCTCAATCACACCACAAGAACATGTGCTCAACTATGTTCATAGTGGCATTGTTTGTTATAGTCAGAACCTAGAAACAACCTAAATGCCTTTCAACCAAAGAATGGATAAGGAAAATGTGGTACATTTACACAATGAAGTACTACAGAGCAGAAAAAAATGACACCTTGAAATTTGCAGGCAAATGGATGGATCTAGAAAACATCATTTTGAGTGAGGTAACCCAGGCCCAGAAAGGCAATATCACATGTACTCACGTATAAGTGACTTTTGGACATAAAGCAAAGAAAACCATCCTACAATTCACAATCCCAGAGAACCTAGACAACAATGAGGACCCCAAGAGAGACATACATGGATATAATCTACATAGGAAGTAGAAAAAGACAAGTTCTCCTGAGTAAAGTGAGAGAGGGTTGAAAGAGAGTGAAGAGAAAGTGAGGGTAGCAGAGAAAAATGTATAGCTCAGTAAAATCAATAAAAAATAAACCCATTTGTGATTATTTATGTCACTATTAGTTTTCAAATAATTTTTATCTAGCTATCCAAATTAAAGTGTCAATACCTTTGACCGAGCAATCTCACTTCCAGATTTTTTTTTTTGTTACAAGAATGTGTAAATTCTATAGTTTACAAACATTTTATCTCTTTAGGAAATGACATTTTGTAAGCTTCATGAGATTATGCAGAAAAGAAATTTTAGCTCTTAGGGACACTGAGGCAAGGGGATAAGAGTCCAATCTGTGCAACACCCTAAGAAACCGACTCAAAAACAGCAATAATAAAATTTTAAATGACATATGTTTAGAGTAAATAGAGGCAAAGTCATTTCTCCAGTGAATATGTAAAACATTTAGACTTATTTTGTATACTGATGAAAAAACAGGATTCATTGTTAAATAAGAGTGCAACCAAGTGAATAAATATAGTATCTTATCATATTTGTTAAAGAGGAAACATAAGGTAGTCTGTCTTCTGAGTTTTAAAGCCTGTGCCTGGGAATGTAGCCTAATGGTAGAACACTTGTAATGCCCATAATTCCCAAGTTCAATCCCCAGCACTACTGAACAAACCCTCTAAAATATGTGAAGTTTATCAACTGTTTGGAAATAGGATTCTAAGAAAACATGGATATTAGATAAGACTATTTTTTTAAATATTCTAGTTGTTTTTCTGAGACCCTGTCATAGTTTTATTTCTGTTGCTCTGACAGAACAGCAACTTAAGGGAGATAGGGTTTATTTCAGCTCACAGTTCCAGATAATAGATCATAACCCCGGGGAAGTCAGGGCAGCAGTAATGGAAAACAGCCAGTCACATTACAATCACAGTCAAGTGTGGGGAGATAGGAATGCACACGTGGTCATTTGGCTGCTTGCTTGTGGTCAATTTGATTTCATTAATCTTCTATAGTTCCCTTAACTTCGGGATGGTGCTGTCCACAGTTGGCTAGGTATTCTTCCATTAATGAACTTAAGACAATTCCCCACAGACATATCCCAAGCATGTATACTGTAGCAAATGCCACATTGAGACTCTCTTGGTGATTGTAGGTTGTGTCAAGCTGAGAATGAAAACTAACCACCAGAGACCCCAGGCCTTCCCTTCTTCTTCCAAAGCCAGACACTCTACTCACCGAGGGTTAGAGACATTAAGAGATGTTGTGCCATTCGGTATTTGTTTGGTTAGCTTATAACATAGAATGATAGGGAATGCAGCTTTAATTGACATTATATAGGGGTTCTAAACCAGCCATTCAATTCTTACTTACAAATAAACATTTCTTCTTCTTTTGCTCCTAGTAATTTTTCAAAATTTTTGTGTACGTGTGTAATGTGCATGTATGCATGCAGATGTGTGTGCAACAAAAGATGGTATTAGACTCCCCTGGACCCGATATGGATGCTGGGAACTGAATTTTGATCTTCTGTAAAAGCAGCAAATGCTCTTAATCACTGAACTACCTCTCTAGCCCCCTGAGGGACATTTTCTAAGAGGAGCCCAAAATTGTTTAGCTGTTCCTCATTAGGAAAAATTTGTTTAGGAATTCTCTATACCACTTAGCAAAGAGTCATTTGAAAATATAATCTATTCCACTTCCTTTAGTTCTAGGTTCTGTAACATTTATTTGTTTTCTTGGAAGGTTATTAGTACTTATAGTAGCAGTAGACAATTTACATCACTTATCTTCTAATTCCTCTAGGCTAAATTTTGGAAGTGTTTTCTCCTCAAATCTGTCCATCTTTTCATCATCAAATGTCAGTTCTTGCTGTCAGGTGTTCAGATCTAGACAGATAGACCAGTCCCCTGGGTTTTGTTGGTTTTTTGTTTGTTTTTTTAACTTTTCCCAATTAGCTTTCTGATTAGTCTGTAGTCTGTTAGGGAAAACAAAAAAAGGAGAATGAGACACTAGAAACTATGTCTTATTCAAACATTTTAATATTGAAATATTTAATGTTGTTGACTAAGGGTGGAAGAAAAGTCTGGCTTAAAATAGAAAGTTGAACGTAGGTGGATAGTATGTATAGAACCAAGTTAAGTAGGGAAGCATAATGTGTTGAAGTCTTCCAAATGATATACTATTACTTGGAAATGTTATGAATTTCCAGGCTACCTCCATGAATAAATACGAAAGAAATCCACACACTTCAAAACTAAATAAAAATCATTGCTATTATACTCTTTAATTGTCAATAAACTGCAGTAAAGCATATATTATGGAATAATAGGTGTATGAGCTGCTGTATCTGAAAGCTTTTATTAAGCCCTAATGTGATCTACAAGTGCTAATTATGTTTTTACAGCAATAATTAAAATTGTTGTTACTACAGTCCATGTGTCAGCATTTGTTGAAGGTTTTTATTTTGCCATCAGAGTCCCCATAACCACCACAGAAGCTTTTCTATTAGAGTAGAAACAGTCTTTGAGAAGTTGTCTTGGTAGCATTTATACAAAACACTGACACCCAATTTACATGAGCACACATGAGCATGTAAAAGCACACTTGAAGAAGCATATAGGCAGATATACAATCAAAGAAGAATAAATTGTTGGAGATGTGCAAAGAAAGCAGGCAGATATACAAAAAGAGGGAAATTCATGTTTGAGGTAAAATTTGGAGCTAAGTTTTGAGAAAGTGATAATAGAAATCAAGTGAATGAAGTTGGATCATCAGGGCAACAGGATACATGATAGTAAAACTAGAAATTTGAAGAACATAAAGGGATATGGCCAGAGCAGTGGTGGTGCATGCCTTTAATCCTAGCACATGGGAGGCAGAGGCAGGCCGACCTCTGTGAGTTCAAGGCCAGCATAGTCTACAAGAGCTAGTTCCAGAACAGGCTCCAAAGCTACAGAGAAACTCTGTCTCTCCCTGCTCCTAAAAAAAGGATATATGGAATCTGAACCAACCTGAAATGGGAATAAAAGTG